ATTTTGATCCCGAAACTATTAGCAAATGGAAATATTGGGGGTACAATGTCTCCGTACGTTCATGAGATGGGCGTGTCAGGCACCACACTCGTGGTAGGTTCATGATTACTCTCTTGTGGATCATTGTCTATCACTGTATTATTGTCACTATCAACTTCATCCAATTCAGGAATCATTATTTCATCGCCACTATCATCATCAGAACAAATCTCGTTCACAACATTTTCCAGCTGGTCTGTAGGAACACGAAGACACTTGCTGCAAGAAGCCATGGTGAAACTGAATGAATGTGAAATATTTTCTGACCTTTTCCTTTTCAGAGGGTTCTGACAGTAATATAGACCCCCACAAAGTTTACAAGGGTTCTTTACAAACATGCACAAAAACTATCATATATATGTCTTTGGTTGATGAGTGCCAAGAGAACAAAGAAGGGAAGAGATTGTCAAAGCTTTAAAACACGCCAACGCCAGGGAACGGCTGGCATCGTCCGGGCGTTAAAACACGCCCGCGCCAGTCAAAGAGTTAAGCACAAGGATGACTTTACCTTTTTCTCTGCACAGAACACATAAAATGAGCAGTGGGGAGGTCATGTCTGTCAATCCTTATATTTCATCACAGGTCTTCACAAAATTTGGTGTTGGAGGTTGACATGAAAGATGCCACACAAGTTAACTTTTGTGTGCTGTAGTAAGGTGTAACTGCTACTTTAGTGAAACTGAAATTGATCTCATTCAAATCACAACTTTTATTTGAAACATTTTTCTAGTATGGTCATTATTTAATAAAGTTAAAACGAAAATAATTTATGATTAATTGCTCATTTTCTTTGTGACAGTATTTTAGTCTGCAATAAGTGACTACCAAACTATATGACATATGGAAAAATAACAAAGAATAAAAAAGAGACTGCAGTCTTCTGGATTGACACACATGTTATTTGGTACCAGTGTTTCAGGGGAATATGTTGCTTCCATCTTCAGTCCTGAAGATGGAGGTGTATTTTCCTCCCAAACACTGGTAACCTTTTTCCAGACTACATAGCATTACATCCCAGGAGACTGCAGATGTCTTTCCAGTTTTGTGCAGAGAGAAAGGGGGAAAGTGACTGCTGTTGCATGAACACATGATAAGGACCAAAAGGGAGCACTGGGAACAATTACAGATGAAATGACTGGCCAAATAATTATCAGTGTAGGTGAACCTAATTGTGACATTGCATCTAATAGTGATGAAGAAGAAAGTGAATTTTTTAAGAAGACTGTGACAATGGTTTTTCAGGAATGGAATAAATGGTGTAATGTGAGTGTTTATGATTAGTAGATACATCATAATTTCTACTTTACAGTGGTAATTCACTTGGTATGAGTACTTGTGTATTAGCGCATGACACAAGTAATTTTAAAGCTATGCTGCCACATTAGCACTGCCAACCATAGAAGTAGTTTGTATGTGAAAACAAAACATGAGGTCTAATCTTACAAAGTTTTACATATTTATTTTTAAAGCAAAATCAAAAGCTAAGCCCAAAGGGGCTTGTTATTAGAGGCAGATTCTGATGTTAGTCTTTGGCGTGCGTTATTGTGGACGCTACTGTTTGTATGGGGTGGGGGATGATTTTGTTCATTCCACTGTTTTTCTTATTGAGTAATTCTTTTTTACGTCTGTTGATGCTGAATTTTGCAGCACTTTTGTGTCTAACAAGTCCTACACAGAAAATCCACCTGCTGGAAACAGTGCTGTGTTGACAGGTTAAAAAAAAGGTAAAGCTATTCTGTAACAGGCTGTGAAGGCCCATAAGGTTGTCAGACGTCAAGGCTCCCACATTTTCTCTGTACAGTTGGCTCACAGATGGCAGGTAAGTTGTCAGCCTTATGCACTGGCCACCTCTTACCCCCCAGGAAGACTCCTGGTACTCAATTCTGTTAGAGGATGAGTCCACCACCAGGGCCATAGTACGCCTGGAAGGATCCACCTCAACGGGACTTGAATCCTTGACCTTCTAGCTTGTAGTATAGTGCCTCAACCAGCTACACTACTGTGTGCCCCACTGTGCTGACAGGAATATAATAAATACTGTCTGTAGTTTTTTTTTACAACAGGACGCAACAGAATATGAACAAAAACAGATGATAGTCTAGGGTGGAAGAGAAGTTTAGGAAAACAACTAAACAGATGGCTTGAAACTGTAACAGGATACATGGTCCAGTAACTGGTAGGATGTTAATTGTTTCTTGCATCCTGTTGTGTATTCGATCAATATTAGGGTCAATTTTACCGACCACACAACATATTTTTATTATTATTACACTACATGTTTTGACCTCAAGAAGTCATCCTCGGGTGTACGAACACAGCTGTATAATTACACGCAATCACATTCGTCTTCTCACTCATTCAAACCTGCATCTTATTCAGGCTCACGCTCAATAATATATCAAGCTCTCTCACAAAACACAAGTTAAAATTGTTCTAAATGTCAAAAGTTAAAATTTAACTTTTGACATTTAGAACAATTTTATCTTGTGTTTTGTGAGAGAGCTTGATATATTATTGAGCGTGAGCCTGAATAAGATGCAGGTTTGAATGAGTGAGAAGACGAATGTGATTGCGTGTAATTATACAGCTGTGTTCGTACACCCGAGGATGACTTCTTGAGGTCGAAACATGTAGTGTAATAATAATAAAAATATGTTGTGTGGTCGGTAAAATTGACCCTAATATTGATCGAATACACAACAGGATNGGTTGTGATGATGATAATGACTATTACTGTCATGTATTGGGGTTTGCATGTGAACAACTGTGTACCTTGCAACAGCAAGCCATGTTGGCAGTACTGTGTCCATTCGCAGAGCTTTCCTCTCCAGAAAAGATGCACTGGATGATGCTGGACTGTCTACTGCAGTCACCCTTCAACAGGCTGGTTAACTGTTGGAACCTGACTTGAAAACCTTCAAAGTACTTAACCAGACCAATGTCAATGGATACAACACATTCAGCAATACTGGGCACACGTATAAACATTTGCAGCATGGAACATTAGGGAAACAAATTGCAATATAAATAAAGTGGGAATAGGCAGTTTGATAATCATGATGGAACTGAATTGCCATGAAATGTATTTTGACTGAAAGTGTCATTGCTAGAGCTATATGCTGCATAGTGAATGACGATGTGTTCCTGTGTCTGGCTTGCCATGTACCAAGTATAAGGTAATGTTGTCCCTGTGCTTAACTAATTAAGCACTAGACCATGAAGATGTATGGGGGAGTGAACGTATAGAGCCACATTTCCTTGACCTTGGCAGTAGTTGGAGGTGAGTGGTCAG